GGAGGAAAAAAAAAGTTTATAATACTATATAGATTTATATAGCTTTTTTATCCTATTATATAGCTTTATATAAGCTTTTTCTATATTTATAATATTTTATAATTAGTACATTTTTCTTTTAATTTAGTAAATGTTTTGGAAATTTTATAGCATGTTTGCCATTTTTATAAAAAAAATTTAACATCTATAGTTTTACATCAAGTTAAAGGAAAATGAGAAATGTTAACTTGGCAACTAGCTGAAATCTTTTTTTTTTTGGACATTTCAAGTAAAGAAACTTTATTTATTTTTTTTGTTTTCCCCTGCCTACAGTTGAAACACCTATATGTAACTATTTTACATTAAAGTGAGCCAAATAGTAAAGTTTCATGCTCGATATGCTGGATTAAACCAGGTAAATGTCCAAACTGTTTTTTGTTTCTTTTTCTGAAAGTGAACGTGCATTACAAGAATACAGGCCATTCCCAGCTAAACAGTCATGCAACGCTCGCTGATTCTAAATTAATGGAAAAGTACTCTAACAAACTCACAGGAGATTCCAGCTAAAACAGAAGGGAATAATCAGAGCAATTCTCAACTGTGCTATTTCCCCCCCCCCATCACACCTGCACTTGGGTTCAGTGAGGGAAAACATAAGAGAAGGGTTTTATTTTATGTAGGCAACACAGTCTCGCTAGCTCAGTCTCTAGCGGCCAGGCGTAAAGCTTTGATAAATGGACTCCTTCAGGAGCTACAACCTAAAATAAAGCCTCTTCAGCCAGCCTCCGTTCCTGCAGGAGGTACAGCTGACCTACTTACGAGGATAAGCTCTCTTACTCTGGAGGACGAGGAGCCGGAGAGGAAGACAACTCAACCAGAATGTTCAAATGGCTGAGGTTGAGGAGTTTAGTGTGTAACCCTGAAGGTTACTTAACCAAAACTCTTCACGTGTATTTCGTAACATCGTCTACAGGTTTTCTGCATTCAGTAGTAGCAGTCACCTGAAACCACAAGTGGCCTTAAAGGTGACATTCCAGATCTACCTTGACATGTACCTGGAATGTGAACCTGCCATCTTCCAGAGCAGCTTGGAAGTGTTTGTTGGTTTGTTTTAAATACCCAATAAACATTCGCAAGAATGTTATTTGTACATGTCAAGCACGGATCAAGAGGGAACCTTGTTGTAAGCGAAGTTATTTGTGGCGCCAGCGTGCGTAGGAGCAGTTTGACTCGCTGGTTTCCAATCGATTTGCGGGCTTTTGTGATCACCTCTCTTCAGAGGCATTTTCTCTCATCTCGGCTCTAAACGGGGGGTTGTGGAGGGCTTCTCGTTGCCGCATCACCTGCCGAGCTGTGGTTCGTAAACGTTCCCCCTTCACAGGCATGAGCTCAAACTCCTGCCTGTGTGGTAATGTTCTCGCGTGTGCAATGGATTCTACTTTAAGGCCTTGAGTTGCAATGTTTAAAAGGTAAAACTGTGTCTGGTGCTGACTACTGTTAAAGAATTCTGACTGGTTTCATACAGTTTCTGTAGTATGGACTTTTTTTAATGGCATTACAAATCCTACCAAAGGCAACATTTCAATTTCTCATTATGCAATTAATAACCATGATCAAAATATTTATTAAAGTAGGCTTGGTAATCAAAGAAAACATTGCTGGTTTTTTATTTTTTTTAAATAAATAAATAAATA